GGCGGGGCCGCGGCCAAGCCTGCGCCCCCGGACAGGTCCGAGGTGGCCGTGGCCCCGGGCCCGCTGCCGGAGCCCGACGTGAGTCCCCCGCCACCCCGGCCGTCGCCGCCCGACGTATTCGCGGGCTTCGCGCCCCACCCCGCAGCCCTGGGCCCCGCGACACTGCTGGCGGAGCAGATGAGCGTGATTGGCAGCCGCAAGAAGAGCGTGAACATGACCGAGTGCGTGCCCGTGCCCAGCTCCGAGCATGTTGCCGAGATCGTGGGGCGCCAGGGTGAGTGGCCACCGTCGGGGGCGCCGCCCCGGGGATCCCCGCGCCGCTGCTCCGGGGACAGGGCCTCTCCAGCCCAGCCCGCGGCCACACCCCGCGTGGGCTCGGGCCTCAGTGGCCGCCTGTGCGCCTTTGTCCTGCCGCCGGCCGCGGAAGAAAGTTGGGTGCAGCCTGCGCTCCTCCCCTGCACGCTTCGGCCCCGTCGCTGCCTTTGTCCGGGCGCCTCCAGCCCCGAAGGGCCCCCGTGCGCTGCCTAGGCCCTGGGTTCTGCCATCCGGGGACCGGGGCCGGTGGAGTGGGGGGGCTCTTCACACCCCAAACAGACATGGGGGTGCCCACTCGGGGTTGGGGGGCGCTTAAACAGGGTCAGAGGGAAGTTTGGCTGCACAAAGAGGGTACATCCTGACTTGCCAGCCTGCTGGGGGTGGGGCGCAGGACAGGATGAGAGAAGGTCCCACCCTCCTCTTAGGGACAGTCAAGAATGTGGGGTGTGTGGAAGGACCAGCTGTAAAAGCAGCTCCTGGGGTCCAACCCAGTGGCCCTGGCCTAACAGGCTGGTGGACAGCAGGCCCTGTTTGTGTGGGGGTCCGGGTAGTAGCATTGCCCTCGAGTCCCTGTGGCTGCCCCATTGTTCTCTTTGTTAGAGAGCCAGGCTGAGATTTACAGGGTGACATCAGGCCGGCTGCCGCTCATTGGCCCTGGAGCTGTGGGGCGGGTGGAGGGTGGTGGGCAGTGCCGGCCCAGCACACACCCACCCACCCTATTAGCTGGCCTGCCCACCAGCCTCAACTTTTTCCTGCCTTTCTGCCCACACCTCCTGTTCCCTGCTGGCTGCCAGTGGTCAGTCAGGTTCTAGAACTTGGGGTGGGGCCTGGGCAGGGCTTGAGGTGGGGCTTGCAGGACTCTCCTCAATGAGGGGTCCTGGCCTCTGCACCCTTGGGAATAGGAGCCAGAGAAGGGTGGGTGTGGCTTGAATTACAAAGTGACCTGTCATCCTCACCATCTCCACAAGCAGAGGACCACAGGGATGCTCTGGACATGGCCCTCTGCTACTTCCGGGTAGGTGGGGTGGCTTGGCCAGCAAGCCCTCTGGTCATTCATTTGTCCTTTGCATGTGTGGACACAAGGAGGGCAAGGCATAGTGCCATCACGAGTGAGAGTGAGAGAGGAGGATAGGTCACTCTGGACAGGCAAAACTACACCTAGGCCAGACGGTTCCACTCTACCACCCTCTTGCTGCCTTCCCATGTAGGCTCTCCATGTCCCTGACCCTGTTCCCCATAACTGCCCTGGAACATGTAACAAGACAGTTGCCATGTACTGACTGCCCAGAAACCTGCAGATGGGCAGGCATGGAAACAGGCCTGGGGGCCATTTGCCCGAAGTCACTAAGCTGAACTGCCAGGCAGTGGAGCCGGAGGGAACGTTCTGTGTGAATATGCGTGTCTTGGGACCGGAGACTCCTTTCAGAGAGGACTCGCCACATGGTGGGTGGTGAGAGTCAGGCAGAGGACATCGGACCTGTGGCCTTGGGTTGAGCAGAGTGGTGTCCAGGAGGTGGAGGAGGAAACCTGGGGTCTCAGGCTCCACTCTCACCTCCTGGGTGTGCATTTGGGACCCAGTTGTTGGGTGTCAGCCTGGTAGTGGTGGACAGCAAGGCAGACTCTGGGAGTATGGTGGGCCCTGAAAGTTACCCTGTAGAATGGGGTGACCCTGATCAAATGAGAGCCCCTTTCTGTGGTGGGGGGACAGTACCTCCCTCGGGTTTTTTGTGTGGATTCTTAAGCAGGATGCTGGTTGTAATCCTGGGCTGGCACCCAGTAGCCACCCCACAAGTGGGGTGCTGGGTACTGGGGAGGGGGCGTGGATGCCGGATGGGTTGTATCACCCCAGCTACAGAACCATCTGTAGCTCCCATCCTCCCCACCTGGTTCTTAAGCACACCCTGAAAGACTGTACCAGTGCCATCCCCTCCCCTCTTACAGTCACCCATCCTTCTCTCCCTGCTGTGGGTCCCTGGACACCAAGCCTGCCCCTTCTTACTGCTCAGGCTCTCCCCAGTGCAGGGAGCACAGCCTGCCCTGACTCCCTCATTTCTGTCAAACCCCAGGTCTAGGGCCACCCCTTCCCCAGAGGGCACAGAAGGAGGAGGCAGCTGGATGTGGGGCAGGGCTGGGATTTGCACCCTCGTCTCTTTGACTGTTCCCTCCCTGCAGGAAGCCGGGGTGGTCCAGGACAGAACTCCCACCTTCCAAAGCTCCAAGGTTGGTGGTGGCGGAAGTGACACCATTCTACAGACAGGAAAACTGGGGACTCAGAGAGGATGTGGGGTGGGCCTCTCCCTCCAGCCGGTCAGCACAGGCCATCTGTGAAGCTGGTGCACACTGGCCATGGGTGATCTTGGGCCCATTCCCTTTCCCCTTGCCATCCATGCCCTGAACCCTGGGCAAGTCCATGTCCATGTCTGTGACTGTGACCAGAGCTGGGCTTGGTCACTGGGTCTTTAGCACTGCACAGCACAGCGCCTGCTATGCCTTCAGGAATGAGCAATGCTAAAGGTAGGGCTGTGACTCGCAGTCCCGGGTCCCCTCCACCATTTTCAGGCTGAGGATCATGGACTGGGACTGGCCCCCTCTTGGCTGGAAGAGGCCTCCTTTGTCCACTGGTTTCCCCTACCCTCCCCTAGAGCTCCCACACACACACACACACACCTGGCCCCATCCCCAGGAGCATCGGGTGCTCTTTCTGGTGGCCAGGGACACTGAGGGGGTGTTGGGGTCCATGCTTTGGTGTTCTTGTCTATCCACTGTGGGGCGTACAGAGGGGTGCCCTGGCCTGGGTTGGGGGCTCCTTGTATTGGCAAATGTGTAGACCTGCCCTGCCTGTGTAGGGCTTTCTGTGTCCCTGTGTCACAGACAAGCCAGCTTCCCCGCAGATCACCTTACTGTGACGAGGCCCAGCCAGGACTGCAGCCCACTTTGACCCTGCTTAATTGTGGGAACTTGTCCCAGCCCTGTCCTGCTTCCTGAACTCTGTCCCCACTCTTCACCCAGCTGGAGCACTCCCCTAGCCTGTCCTCCTTCTCAGGGCGGCCCCCTCTGGTCCCCCCGCCCCTACCCCCTTGAGGTTTCCTTGATTTATGTAGCCTGTGGTCACCCGTGGAGCCTGGTTCTCTGGTGCTCGGCACATGAGTGTGACCAGGACCCCAGAACAGGGTCTTATATGAGTGATGGGAGGCAAAAGACTGCCCCCATCTAGGCTTTCATGGGGGTTATCATCCTCCCCACTTTGAAGGGAGGGTCCGGCTGCAATGGAGTAGGGGTTGCTGGGGCCTGGGGCAGGACAGAGCCAGCCTCAGAGGCAGTCACAACACACCCGGGGCCAGTGCTCAGGAATCTGCATTTCAGCCTGTGCCCACCGATCGTTGGTGGGGCTTGGCCCCTGTCACAACCCACTCTTGCCACACTGTCATCCCCATTGGGGAGAGGTGTGGCCCGGGCCACTCATGAGTCTCGATTACCTGGACTGGGCAGTCCCACCCACTCAAGCTCTGCCCCCTCTCAGGCTTTTGGCATTGGTGGGGTTTGGGGTCCTCCCAGGCCCTGAAGGCTCCACACAAGGGGAAGCTGCATGATCCCTCTCTCCTGCTCTTACCCACCCAAGAGACCCATCGACAATGAGTTTCCCAGCCTGGCCGGCTCCAGCCTCATCCAGCTCTATTGGTTTGAGAACGAGGTCTGCTAAGGGCTAGCAGAGGGCCCGGATGATTCCCTGCCCTTTCTTTGGGCTTTGCTCTCCTCCCTTCAACATGGCTCTGCTAGAAGCAAACATCTAGGGTGAGGGTGTAATAGCCGACCTTGAGACCCACGAGGGCTAGGCGTCTGCCTGGGGCCAGGCCCCGAATCTGTGAAGCTGGATGTTTCAGCCCTCCTTTTATAGATGAGGAAATGGAGGCTCAGGAAGTTTACCTCAAGGGCCCAGGGTAATCCCCAGTACACCAGCCCTTAGAACACAGTCCCCCGGCCTCAGGGCATTCAGAAAGTCAGACACGTTGTAAGCAGAAACTGGAATCATGCTGGGGTCTGGCCCAGTCAGGATGGGCTTCTTGGAGGAGGGAGGGACGCCAGATTTCAATTTGATGCAGAGAACATAGAGGACTAGGGGCAGCATGGCCAGGGCAGGGAATAGCTACAGGAGAGGGGCAGGACTAATGTGTGTGATTTGAAAGCCACCCCCCACCCCAGCTGCCAAGTAGGGAGGGGAGCATCTGGGCAGGAGTAGAGGAAGCTGCAGGTCAGAGTGGTTTTAGTGGGGTGCCATTTTGGCAATGCTGTTATGGCGGACGAGTGACTCAGGACCCAGGAATTGGGGCCTGGAGATGCAAGGAAGGCTGGAGCCACTCTCTGGGAGATTTCTGACCCCTATTCTACTTGATTTCACTCAAAGTTGTGAGGGGCTCCTGTCTTTCTTGGCTCGGGTGAAGCCACCCAGGGACATTTCCTGCTGAGCAGCTCCCTAATCCAGGCCCTATCTCCCTGATTACTTCCTGGGTAAACCCCTGGTCCAGCTAACTTTGTATCTTCTTCTACAGTGAAGTTAGCAACACTGTTATTCCTCTCAATGCTACCCTCTGTTGTATTGACACAATATCCCTGTATCCCTCTAGCCTCCCCAGAGCCTGAGGTGGTGGTGGGGGGAGGGGAGAGGGTCTCCCAGATTTCTAGGCCTGGACTCAGGATATCTCAGGCCTTGTGGCTGGGGGTTGGGTTATCAGGGGACCTGGGCAGGTGCTGCCATCAGCATGACTGACCCCCGCCCCCCCATGGACATTCCTGCACCCCTCCACAGGTTGGGACCCCCCCATGCTAGCCTGGGCAGTGAGGACGAAGCTACAGTGCTATGTCATTGTGTGTTCCCAAGCGTCCCTCAGAGGCCAGGACCACCCAGACCTTTGGAAGTGTCCTGATGTAGGCCCAGGAGTCTACATCAGGCTGAGACCTTGGCTTCCCTTGGGATGAGAGGGTCACTTGTTCAGAAGGAAATCACAGGTAGCTTCCATAAATGGAGCCTCAGTTTCCCTGCCTATCAGATGGGGAGTTGGTGTCAGAGGGTCTGTATTCATGTCCTAGGACTGACATAAACTGGATGGCTTGAAACAATAGAAATTTATTTTCTCACAGTTCTGGAGGGTAGAAATCTGAAATCAAGGTGTTGGTAGGGCCACGCTCCCTCCAGAGGCTCTAGGGGACGATCTGTCCCATGCTCTCCCAGCTTTTGGTGAGACTGCCAGCCATGCTTGGTGTCCCTTGGCTTGTAGCCACATCACTGCAACCCCTGCCTCCCTTGTCTCTGTGTACCTGTGTCCCTCCTCTTGTTATAAGGACACCAGTCATGGGATTCAGGGCCCACCGTACTCCAGTGTGACTTTTAACTAATTACATCTGTGGAGACCTTATTTCCAAATAAGGTTCCATTCTGAGGTTCTGGATGAACATGAATTTTGGGGGACACTCTTCACCCCACAACAGATTCCTTCTTGCTTTTTTGCCAGCCCCACAGGCGCGGAGGAGCAGAGGTGAAACAGAGGCCACCCAGGTGGGATGGGCAGGATTTGTTTCTGAGATTAAAGCCTGCAGGGGGTACAGCCCACATGTGGGGGCTCCCAGCTGGCTGGCCCCTGCAGCTGCTGCCCTGGAAGGGCTTTCACAAGGCAGAGGTCCCTGTCATCACTGTGTCCCCTCCTCCCTAGGGTGCAAGATCAAGGCTCTGCGAGCCAAGACAAACACTTACATCAAGACGCCAGTGCGAGGGGAGGAGCCTGTCTTCATCGTGACCGGCCGTAAGGAGGACGTGGAGATGGCCAAACGTGAGATCCTGTCGGCTGCCGAGCACTTCTCTGTGATCCGCGCCACGCGCAGCAAGGCCGGCGGGCTGCCTGGCGCAGCACAGGGCCCACCCAACCTGCCAGGACAGACCACCATCCAGGTGCGCGTACCCTACCGCGTGGTGGGGCTGGTGGTGGGGCCCAAGGGCGCCACCATCAAGCGCATCCAGCAGCGGACACACACATACATCGTGACGCCAGGGCGTGACAAGGAGCCAGTATTCGCCGTGACGGGTATGCCTGAGAACGTGGACCGGGCACGCGAGGAGATCGAGGCACATATCACGCTGCGCACAGGCGCCTTCACTGACACAGGCCCTGACAGCGACTTCCACGCCAATGGCACCGACGTCTGCTTGGACCTGCTCGGGGCAGCTGCGGGCCTCTGGGCCAAGACCCCCAACCCAGGGCGGCGGCCCCCCGTACCCACAGCCAGCCTCCGTGGGGACAGTGCCCTGGGTGCCCCGGGGGGGCCTGAGGCCTTCTACCCAGGAAGCTGTGGGGGACCAGCGGTACCAGACACAGGCCCCACCAGCCCCTACGGTGGTTCAGGTAATGGGGGTTTCACTTTCGGCGGCGATGGCCCCGGGGCCCCCACAGGGCCACCCGCTCCTGAGGACTGTGACTTTGGCTTCGACTTCCTGGCACTGGACTTGACCGTGCCTGCCGCAGCCACCATCTGGGCCCCCTTTGAGCGCACTGCGCCCCTGCCGGCCTTCAGCAGCTGCTCAGCGGTCAACGGGGCTCCCGTGCCGCCCACCCCAGGTGTCCGGCGCAGCAGCGGGGCTGGCACCCCGCGACACTCGCCCACGCTGCCCGAGCCCAGCGGCCTGGGCCTGGAGCTTCCGCTGGCCCGCCGCACCACGCCCGACCCAGTAGGTGTCCTGTCCTGGAGGCCCCCTCAGGGTTCCCTTTCATCTTTCTCAAGTAGTAACAGCTTCTCCACGGCCACCTCGCTGCCCAGCAGCTCCTCAGCCTCCTCATGCCCCTCCCTGGACTCCAGCACCTCCGATAACAGCCGCAAGCCCTCAGCCACAGCGTCCTCTGGGTCCGTGGCTCCCACCTCCGCCCCGGCCCTGGCACGGGAGTGCGTGGTGTGCGCCGAGGGTGAGGTGATGGCCGCGCTGGTACCCTGTGGCCACAACCTGTTCTGCATGGACTGCGCCGTGCGCATCTGCGGCAAGAGCGAGCCTGAGTGCCCCGCCTGCCGCACGCCCGCCACCCAGGCCATTCATATCTTTTCCTAGCGGGTCACCTCATCGCGCCCGCGGCTACCAGGGCTGTCTGCGGGCGCAAGGTGTGGACGCACTCACTCTCTGGGCCGGGGTGGGGGAATAGAGGGGGGAGGGGCAGGGGCGGAGGGGAGGGCAGCGTGGCCAGTGTTTACAGACAAGCTTTAACTCCGGTCCCAGGCACGGAGACGGCGGCCCAGTGGCACCTCAGTTCTTAACAAATAACAGTATTGAGTCGACAGGTTAAAATAAACCAGAGAGAAAAGGTCTGTTGCACTTTTTATTTGAGACACACACACCCCGCCACCCCCACCCTCACCCCCGTGATCTTTTTAAGAAAAAACACGATTTTTACAATCGGTTGTCCTTTTCTATGGCATGGATTTCTGATCTGACAGTGTTGTTTTTAGGCGGTCTCAGCCTCTACAGAAAGTTCCACCAGGAGGATGGTGACATTTTTACTCTCCATTTTTGAAGTACACCCTTTTGTACTTCAGCCCCGCCCAAGCAGAGGGGGACGGGGTGGGGGTGGGGGTGAGGGGCATCCCAACCAGAAGTTTCTTTTTTTTTAATTATTAGTCCCCTTCTGCTGTGGTTTATGTTGTCAGTTTTTAAATTTTTTTAAATTGTTTTTTTTTTTAACTTTTACTTTTTACCTCTTGTGTATATGTAGCGAATTTATAGGGAAATATGTACTTTATGGAATAAATTTTAAGAACTAAAATATATTTTATTTTAAAGTAACGGACCTTTAATCTTACACAGCTAAATTACTGATTATATATTTGCTGAGCTGACTTAAGGGTTCAGAAAATTGTATCAAGAGTTTTATTTTTTGACTCCAAAGCCTTCTTAATAAAGTCTTTTTACTACATGTGAGCCCTTGGTGTGGTGTGGGGCCGGTGGGCTTGGGGGAGGGGCTCTCAGACCCAGCTCCTCGGCATCCCCCCATCTTCCAGATAAATTAGGGAGGGCCCAGGGTACCCCCATTCCAGGCTTTTCTGCAGGCCAGGCGCTGTGCCCTGTTCCAGATGAGGGCATCCAGTTTGTAGGGGGAGGTAGTCCAGCCAGGTCCCCCTTTCCTGAGACTCAGGTCCCACACATCCCTGGAGACGGCCAAGTGTGAGGCCAGCCATGGCCACTGTGGAGGTGGCAGTGCCAGGCAGTCTCTTCCCAGGGTACCTGCCCAACTCTGTGGTATGTGGGGGGCGCACAGCCCCCAAAGGATGGGGTCAACCTGCCCTTGTACACATGGGGAAGCAGGTCTGGGAATCTGCCCCCTGTGATGTGTCCTAATGACTCCCAGTCCCCAAAGGACACCTAAGTGATGAGCCACAGGCATTGGCCCCAATTCACCTTGGGTCTAGTTGGGAGCAGAGGACCTGGCCCATTTGGCCACCAGACAGTTCTTCAGGGCTGGGGTTGGCTCTGAGGAGGAGTGGGGTACCAGGGGTTCAACTGTCAGTAGCCGGTGGGCACCAAAGTTCTGAAGGACATAAGAAAGCTCGAAGGTAGGGAGGGTGGGGTATGGGATGTGGTAACAAAGAAGTGCCCAGAGGCTAAGGTCCCCATAGGCTGCTGGCCTGAGGAATAGGTAATGAAGAAGGACCTGGGGACAACCCACTAGGCGAGCTAGGAGGCATAGCAGAGCAGCCTGGAGGGCTTCCAAGAGGAGGCAGGGGGCTTGGGACAACATGTCAGGTGGGGCAACAGGAAGGGACAAGAGCAGCCACAGATGGACAAGGAACCTCAAGGACAGTGAAACCAGTGAGTGGCAGCCACATCAGGCCCTCTGGCTGAGTGGAAGCACGTGGAAGGCCGAACCTCGTCCCAGGTTGCAGAGCACGGGGTAGGTCTCGAAGAGCCACACACACTGGGGGTTCCACCCCAGCCCTCCCTGGAATTTTCCCATCTGTAAATTGGGGTGCTCTCATGTCCACACTCCTAACTCTGGTGAGGCTCAGGAGTGGTGCAGTGAGTTGAGTCGTAGCCCAAAAAAATAGGTCCCCTAGAACCTGTGATTGGGACCTTATTTGGAAAAGGGCGTCTTTGCAGATATAATTAAGGATCTTGAGATGAGGTCGTCCTGGATTGGAGTGGCCCTAAGTCCAATGATGAGTGTCCTTGTAAAAGAAGAGGAGAGACAGACACACAGAGAGATTTCCAACTCAAACACGCAGAAGGCTATGTAACGATAATGACGATGAGGCAATGACTGGAGTGATGAGGCTACAGGCCAAGGGAAGCATGAGCACCCCCAAGCTGGAAGAGGCAGGAAGGACCCTCTCCTGGAGCCTCCGGAGGAAGCACAGCCCTGCCACACCTTGATTTTGGATTTCTGCTCTCTAGCATGGTGAGAGAACAAACTCCTGTTGTCTTAAGCTGCCCACTTAGTGGTAATTGGCTCCAGCAGTCATGGGAGACCAGCACTGGTGGGTGGGCAATGCTTAACCCCGGGCCTGGCACACAGTCCAGCAGTGGAGTTCCACACAGCTGCAGTGGCCCCAGGTGACCTCAGGTGAGGTCAGTGGAGGCTGCAGGGAGGCCAGGCTGTGGAGACCACAAAGAGAAAAAGAAAGAGCAGCTCCTAGCAGCCAAGGGGTCAAGAGGGGTGGGAGTGAGTTCTTAGGAAGGAGGTGGGGGCTGGAGCCTGAGCAAGAGTCCCGAAGAGAGTGGGCACAGTGGCAGAGAGAGGGGTGGGGGGTAGGAGGGGTGTATGTGGGGGGGAGAGGGGGTCTGGGGTCTGCAAGGAGTTAAAGGGCATTTTGGGGTGGCTTTGCATCTGCACAACCGCATGTGTGAAAGCTTGTCATTTTGCTGCTGTAATCTGAAGATAGCAGAGGCACCTCAACAGTGCCCTGGGTGCCTGAGAGCTCGGCAGAGGAGGGATGGGGATGAGGTGCCTGGATGACCGGCCAGGGGAGGGTCAGTCCCAGTGCTTGGGCCCAAATCCAGAGCTCTCTCAAGGGGTTTCTGAGAGATGCAATAGTAAATGGGGGTGGAGCCCCAAACCAGGGGCAGGTCTGTCCCCCATGCTGGTCTGAGAACTTTCTGTCCCAGGACTTTCCAGAACCATTTGGGGGTTGTGCTCACCCCACCCCCACCCTCATCCTCACCCCCGCTGGAGGCTTGTGAAGCGGATGAGAGGGAGGTTAGAGCTGCTGTTGCCCTCAGGGCAAGGTGGCCAGAGGTGGATTCTGGAGCTTGCCATTTGAGGCTCTGGCTCCAGCCAAACCCCTCCAATGAGTGCCAAAAGCCTCCTCCTTTGTTTAAGCCACAGGGAGCTGGAGCAACTCAAACTCATAACCACCTGCAGGGACTGCATCCCAGCCAGGGAGATTCGAAGTGGATTTTTTTGCAGCAAAAACACCTACCCTGTGCAGATAGCTTTTCCACGCCTCAGCACACTCCGGGAAGCCAAAGGCCTGGCCAGTGTCCTGGATGCAAGCTCTCACCTTGTCACTTGTCTCTGTTGATTCACAGACTCAGCACAGCCCCCCTCACCCCTGGACCCTCCCCTTTACCAGGAGAAAGCCACATTGGCTCATGCTGGGCTTCCCAACAGAATTTAAATGTTGATAGTCACATGTGGTTGGTGGCTCCTGTATTGGACAGCATCTCTCTAGAATGTTCCAGTCCAGCACGGTGGAGGAGAACTTTGTGCAATGATGATAAGGTTCTAGATTTGCACCTTCCAATACAGGAGCCGCCAGCTCCACGGGGTGACTGACCATGAGATGGGGTTTGTGCAACTGAGAGAGCTGAGTTTTTCTTTTATAGGACTTTAATTTAAATTCAAATAGCCACAAACAAAAAAGGGAAAAGTAGCTAGGGAAGCTATTTGCTATGCAGACTTTGAAATATGTTTAAAGCCAGGGAAGCAGCAAGGCTTCTGTGCCCTGAGATTGTAAAAGAATGTGAGTGAGTGGAGGCCCTGATCAGAGTGGCCCCAAAGCAACAAAGGCCACAGAGGCGCAACAACTCCTAGGCTGCTATGGTCTACAGAATAACAGCCACAAAAAAGCCTCTGTCCTAATCCCCATGACCTTTGAATGTGTCACCTCACGTGACAGAGGGACTTTGTGGGTGGGATTAAGTCAAGGCCCTGAGATGGGGACGACCCTGGATTACAGGGAGGCCCAGTGTCATCACAGGGTCCTCATAAGAGGGAGGCAGGAGGCTCAGAGTCAGAGAGATGGAAGAGGCTGCACTGCTGGCTGTGACGATGGAGGAGGGGCCATGAGCCAGGGACATGGTGCCTCTAGAAGCTAGAAAAGGCTGGAAACAGTTCTCTCTGTGGCCACCAGAAGGACCAGCCCTGCCCATTCCTGGGTTTTAGGACTTCTGATCTCCAGAGCTGTCACATAATAAATTTTAATTGTTTTAAGTCACCAAGTTTGTGGTCATTTGTTACAGTAATCAGGAAACACACAGCTGTGTTAAAAGTTGATCCAACTCCTTGGAGGAATGACTGTTTCTATGGCCTGCCTGAGGCAAATACAAAATAAGCCTGAACATCTTGTGGTGTCAGAACATAAGGACATGCTCAAAAAACCCCACAAAGATCGCATGTCCAAGCGATCCAGGAGCCACCAACTGAGAGAACTCCCAGTGGCAGAGCTGAAGCAATTCATCCTAGAAGACACAAGACACTCAGTTATTTTATTTTATTTTATTTTATTTGTAAGATTTTACTAGGGAATTGCGTAAGGGGAACAGCCAAGTTGTCCTTCAGACTTAGTTCTGGAGGGCGCAGCTAGCTCAGCTCCAAGTCCAGTCGACATCCAACTGCCCGTCGGCAGCTCACGGCCACTCAGCTCAAGGTGCCGTGTTCAATCTTAGTTGCGGGTGGGCCTAGCCCACCATCCCATATGGGAGTTGAACTGGCAACCTTGTAGTTAAGAGCACGAGCTCTCACCAGCAGGGCCATCCTGCCACCTGTTGGCAGCTCAGCTGCAGCTCAGCTCCAGCACAGCTCATTTGCCCATGTGGGAATCAAACTGGTGACCCTGTTGCTCAGAGCTCACAGTCTTAACCAACTGAGCCACTTGGCCGGCCCACACCCAGTTAATTTGAGTTTCAACTAAACAAGTCATTTTTTTTAGTGCAAGTTTGTCTCAAATATTGCATGGGGTATCCTCCTACCTAATGGTGATTCATTATTTACCTGAAATTCAAATTGTACAGGCATCCTGAATTTTTTTTTAATTATTA